ACAGCATCGCTTCCGTACATGTACTGTGTACATTATATAAACAACATAGCTGCAGTACTTGTACGCCGAAGTTTCTATGTTGTATCTTCAGGCTTGCTGATGGTTAAATACTGTGTTCAGCACTGCCCCGTAATTCGAAATTCTTTCCAACAAACTCCCATTCCGGGTCCAGGAAGGGAGCGTTAAAAAAGATGGGCCAGTCAATAGCTGACTACAGCTACTTATTTCTGTTAGCTATCCCAGACATTTTTACGATCTTTCTAAGTCCTCATTTTTAACAGTTAATTCGCATTCTGTTTTCCCATTTCGTTACACTTTGCCGTCATAGCAACAACATTCATTTCATTCTTCGACCACAGTGATTTATTGCCTGTTGTTGAATGACCAAAAAAGTCTATCAAATTCAACCATGGCCAGTGCTCATTCAGATATCTGTCAAAACGGAGCCAATCCAGGAAGAAATATATATTCGAACACTGACACAGTTACTGAATGGTGGAATGATCGGAGCACCAGAAGTGCTACAACTTGGACAGAATCTCATACACCTTATTCAGGCTAAAAAAGTTATTGATATCGGTTGGCCATCTTAAAGCATATATTTATACAATTCCAAATATCGTCCAATTGTCCATTTTTAGAATTCAAGGAACTTATCCTTGTGGCCTGATTAGCAACAATGCAGTCACAACAGCAACCCATCGCTGGAAAGACTAGCCTTTGTCCTATTTAATGCAGCGCTGAAACAAACTGTTCGGCTCTTAAAATCCTAGCATGCTTAATCCATGAATATCATATAGTAATATGCTATCGAAATAACAATGGATTGCTGACGAAGTAAGCCTAGCACTACTGCATGGAACCAAAAAAAGATTTTTCGGACCTTTTCCAGAAGACGAAATTTTCTGAAATACAGGATGGCTAAATACCCTCAGCTGCTTAATTAATTTTTTTTTTCTTTTACTCCAACAATTTCCGGCACGTTTACTGGTGCATCGGCTGTTGCTTGGGCTCTGGCGCTGCCCGATGA